TTTTTAGCCGTATAAGTCTCTCAGCCAATCAATAAACTAGCATAATAATACCTGGAAAAAATCTAGAAAAGAAATTAATTCCATATTTTTATTCTCGTATACTTAATAATTGATAGTTGATGTTTCGGGTTGTCATTACAACGCTTTTTCAGGAAACAAAAATAAATTCATTTCTGAAGTGAAAAGATAACTAAAATAAAAATTATTGTTGTTGTTTATTAGCTAACAAAAAAAAGTTGGTATCAACGCTGACCGATGAGAACTAAACTACAAATTAATTAGTTTTAATTGCATGCTCAAAAATTGCTTAAGACAAATAAATAAATATATCAGTAAAACTAACTCACGAAAATATGAGATGTCTTTAATCTTATATAAAGACAATAAGAAGATCTCTTCTTTTACATGGTCTATGACCGTGAGCAAAGAATACAGCAATATCACTGATACCATCTCAAAAAGAGATATTGCGAAACGGTCCAAAGTACAATGCAAATGACACAGAAACAAACACATGATTAAGTGTACATTATTCTATTATTTCGAGAAAAAGAAATTTATTCCAGGAAGATTTGCATACAACGAATGCGCTTTCGAAGACGTTCGTGATGCGAAGTCAGCTGTCGACTAATGGGATGATAACTATGCACATTATTACGTCGAGCATTGGAAAATGCACCATCACGAATATGTCGCACAAAGTTATCTTATGAGGAATATGCATGTGCATCAACATAAAGTTTATATATTTTATATTAAGAAAATATAAAGTTTAGGTGTACTATTTTGGGCGCTGATTGTAGTCGTACTTCGTAGAAAGAGGAGATCGATTGATTCGGTTGTTTACTAATCTTCAAACATCTATAGTACAAAATCACTGTTACTACATCTCATTGGTGATAATAAAATATTGATTACTCGCTTATTTATTCTCAACAGTGGATTATATGTCGGTGAAGAAATTGTTTAGTTATACATTCATGATCCAATTACCAGTGTAACGCCTGCTATAAAAGAATTGAAAAATTTTCAGAAAATATTTTTACAATCAAAAGAATTTAAACCCGCATGGAATCATTGTAATAAAGCAGCAAAACTGAAGTAATACATTCATAGTTTATATTAGAGATACACTTATACAATAGATATAAGTAATATTGACTGCAATAACATTTCTCAGGTAAAAAAAATTATGCGAAAGTCTTCGCACTATTAAAATTCTTCCTTGTTGTGCGCACATGTGCGACAGCTACTTTTGTATATACTCTTGGCTATAGATAGTACTAGACCTCGACCACTTATGTTCCAAATGTGGACTCTTCATCTAGTTTCTAAACCGAGATATAAACAAACGAATTGTCACTTTTATATAGTTATTTCGTTTCAGCCTGCTTTTAGGGCTTTTATGATAAATTCTATAACTTTTGAATAAAGTAAGTTCCGATGAAAAACTTTTAGGAATCTTCCTAAGTGTGTCGCTGCTACCTACTGCGCAAGTAAGAACAAAAAACTCAGACATTGATTGAGCAACTTGTGTGAGAAACGGCTGTCTCTACCGTGCAATGACTCTTAAATATAGAGGATAGATAATAAGATGAAAAATTTGCTTTGCGCAAATGATGTGCAACGAAAGTAATAGTGCGATCTTCTGCTAACTAATCATAAACTTGCATCTTTATGCTTTTTCTGCTATTCTTTCTGTTTATCTCGTTTCAAGACTGGAAAAATGAAAATGGTACTATTGTTAAATAGATTTATCATATTTCTTTACTCTTCTCAGAAGGCAGCTGCACGCTTCTTTCCTTTATTCTACGAAGACTGACGGTCTAAAATTTCTTTTATTATCAACGAGGGAACTACCCCAACTGATCCAGCGCTTTCGGCTCCATATTTTGGTCATAGGTAGACCTTGTTGAGACTAAGAAAACTCTAAAAGCGTTCGTGCCCATAGCTCTTGAAGACCCGCTTTTCTGGAAAACCAGTTTTTCAGAAACTCTAAAAAGTAACCAAAATCTTTCTTAGTAAGGCATGATTGTAGCGCGCACATTTCTCATTAATATGAGATATCTCCCAGCTCTACACCTTTCTTTGCAAAGTTATAGAATTTATAAGCAAAGCCCTAAATTAATTTCTTCTTATTTCTGTAGCTTTGAGCTGACAATGAACATTTAGGGCTTTGCTTGTAAATTCTATAACTTTGCAAAGAAAGGTGTAGAGCTGGGAGATATCTCATATTAATGAGAAATGTGCGCGCTACAATCACGCCTTACTAAGAAAGGTTTTGGTTATTTTTTAAAGTTTCTGACAAACTGGTTTTCCAGAAAACCGAGTCTTCAAGAGGCCATGCGCACGAACGCTTTTAGAGTTTTCTTAGTCTCAACAAGATCTACCTATGACCAAAATATGGAGTCGAAAGCGCTGGATCAGTTGGGGTAGTTCCCTCGTAAGATTTTATCTTTTTCCTTATGCCAACTAAAATATCAAAAAACAACGATAACACTCACATTATAGTACTGCTGAATATATGTAGTTCACTGGAGTCGGCCGTCTAGCAGAAACAAAAATACAAAAACACATTATTTACACTATGCTATATATGCAAACAAAAAGTCTTCGGTTTTTTATAATGATGATCTATTTCTAAATAGAATAAAAAGTCACGTTTGTCTAAATTTCTCCACATGTGGAGGTCACGAAATCAATTGTCATAGTAGTCTGCGCAATCTCCTTCACATTTCATAATATATTAAAAATTGTATTTTTTCCTATGAGTAAATGTGTTTTGTTCTGTTTCTTGTTTAATCTTTGAGTTTGTTATTGGACTATCTTAACGTCGAACCTCTCGCTACCCACCTGTGTTGCAATAATTGTTGACTGCTATAGACTTCATAGCAACGATAATTAGGTGTTAAGAAGATTTTAGGATCTAATCCGGGTTTAAAAAAGACTGGACCAACTATACTCTAGCGCTTACTAATGTAGAATGCATTAAAGTACACTCTTCTTCTGTTGTCCTTGGTTTTTTCGCATGAAGATTTTATTGACAAAAGAGAAAAAACCCTTGCATTTTTTTTTCATTCTGTGTATATGTGGAATTATTCACATATCCTTCTTATCACCTTTTTTAACTTTCTCTATAAGTATTATATATAAAACGAACATAACGGTATCCTTTTTTCTTCTAAAGTAGTAAAATTTTTCATAATTTATAACAAAAAAAAGTAAAACACCAAAGCAGAAGGACGAGAACTATTATGAAGGTAAGTTTAGAAAAACTGTAAAGCCTGGATCTTTCACATGCATGGAAAATAAAAATGAACGTATGATTAATTATATCCAGGATGATGAAAATGAGAAAGCTCGTTAATAAAACCGATGAATTGTTGATTCATTGACCATTTTTATGTAATTCAAGGCCATCTTTACCTCACATGGAGGCTATAAATGGATCATTTTTTATGCTCTAAAAGTGAGCATAGTTCGCTCAGAGTTATCAAGTTCTTAGAAACAACGCTTTTTGAGGACCATAAATATCTGATCCTTACGTCATTGATAGGAAAGGAATGAGTCATTTTTATGATACTTGAGTTATCTAAACCCCCCCACCCCCATAATAGAAGCCCCCGGGGGCTTGTATTTGGTCCTCAGAACTTTGATCGTGTTCCGCTGGGGAAAACAGAAAATTCTG